TTCAGAAGTAAATACAATCAATGTTTTTCACCTTACTAAATAATAATCTTGGAATTATTTTGAAATATTTTCGTCCTATCTAAAAAAACAGTCTAAAGTCATTAATGATCTAGCCCTTTAATTTGTTACCATCAGCCTAGCTAGCAGAGCATTTCTTGTCAAATATCTAATATTTTTGGGTTTAGACATATAAAATGGGAAGTCAGGAAAAAATTAGCAGATGGCCTCAGGGGAAAAAAAGCCAAAAGGAGCAAATTGATTGGAGGTGAATCCCACTGAGAGCTTAAAAAATAAACAGTAACCCTTAGTTTGAATCTCTAAATGAACCGGGAACCTTTGATGTGACTCTCACACTGAAGTGATGTTTCATATAGAAGCAGTCAGGACTTGTGTATCCACATGGACTTATAATAATAAATGCCATTCAAGCAGTAATGATAATAAATTAAAGCCTGAATTTAACAAAATTAGCCCAAATCAAATTATTTCAGTGTGGCTTTACTTTAATGTACTTACGACAATTATCCCTGATCAATCACCAATATGTTTCTGTCATGTTAATATTTTCCAATATAAGAATATAGAAACATGATAGGCCCGAAAATGGAACCCTGAGAATAGAAATGTGTCTTTTATATTGTTTATGGACCAGCTTATTGCAAAATAATCATCAGACTTGTGAGAAACCTTGACAGAGTAACCACCTGGAGTTTTAAATCCATGCCTTCGTGTCACTTTATTACTGTGAATAAAATTTTGCCATTTTGAATCAGGAAGATTAAGAAAATTCAGGCCGCCTCATACCTTTATAGTGAACAGAAATGTCCCTTCTCACCATGAAATGAACCAAGCCAAGGAAAAATAGGTTATCTTATCTGTGGTGTGAAAAGCCAAGACTTCAATTCCAGGATCAGCAATGGCAAATTCATCGAAAAACCTTACCGTTCAGTAGAAACCCGTAAAAGGTATAATTAGGCTTTTTTCCAGTGCCGGGGATTAAGACAGTGATTTACGGAAGCAGTGTGCCTGAATTTATCATACATGAGCTCATTTTTGCAGTACTGCTGTGAGGATTTACAAGTTATTATTCTGCAGTGGAGCATGACACAGCTGGAGACTCACTATTAGTCATGCACACGTTGGTGATTTATTCATACCTAATGTAGAAAATGAAAGAAAATAATGTTACTCTTTAAACAAATTTGTAAAATGTCAAATGGTAATAACCAGGCAATGAATTTCTTAAACAATATCAGCACATGAAAAGATCAAAAGTGTATATTTAGTGCAGACTTTTTTTTTTCTGAACATTTGAAAATAGTGACCCACCCTTACACCATAGAGATCGTGTAAGTCATAGGGGGAATTTTCCTTTTGCTAATTATACATACCTATAGATAGATAGATTTAATAGATATAGATTTTAGAGATTTAATAAATATATTTTTTTCATTTTTAAATTATTTAAAATGACGTGATTAGGGGTTAGGGGTTGGATGACTACTAGTCAAGTACTCAAGCAGTAATTCAAAAAAAAGTTATTGAATATTTGTATTTTCCAAAGATAAACCAAAAACTATTGCTATTTTTAGGCTGTTGTGCAGAAAAAAGGTTTGTGTGTCAAACCTCCCTTCAGTTAGGAGTTAATGAAAGTAAATAAATCAGTGTACCGTATTAGATGATTTAAGGACGCACCATTTCTTAAAATGCACTCGTCTGCACAAGCTGGCAGCTCAGCTGAAATGTTGTTTCTGAAACTGAGATTGCACAGCATGGAAGCTCGTGTCCATCAACAGAGCCCACCGTATAGCTTAATGAGCGGCCTTCTTTGGATGGAGGATACAATGTATACAGCAGCATTTGGAATATTTTTCTGCCATGTTTGACTCCGGCCTCAGTAGCATCTGAAAACAGTCTGGCTATGCCTCTTTGAGCTAGCATGTGCTTCTGATCAGATGGGGATCAGATTGGGATCAGATTCTAAACGGATGTGCAACCCGCGGCTCTGAAAGTGCTCTTTCACACAGCGCTGGTCACGATGGAATTCAGTCTGCCACAGGGCAAGGATTTTATTCAAATTTTATGTAGATTTAAAGGATAGCAATTCCTTCCTGAATGGGCAGGGGGGAAACATTGTGTACACAAAATGGCCCACACAGGGGTGGGATTAAAAATCTGTTGGGATTATATAATTGCCTACTTTGTTTCAGACTAACAAAGTACATTTAACTGCATTCTCTACTGGCTTCCTAACAGTTTTTTTTCCACCAGCCTGTCAACATCCCCACATCTTGCCCACAGCTATCTGACATACAAGTCCCTGTGAATGAGTTATATATAGAAACGCTAGTGTATTGAAATGATGCATTAATTTAAACCTGAGATTTGTAGCTGCACAATTGTCAGAGCTACTGTTATAGAAAATTCTGGATATTCAACACACAACACATTCTGACCCATTAAAACTGAGAATCCAAAAGCTCTCTGGTATCATTTTTAATGAGGCAATACTCAACAAGAAACAAATCACACTTATAATTGCATCTAGACTTTTTGCCTTTTTCCCCCCATTTCAATGCAGATGCTTAGCAGGGGTTTTTGTTGTTACTGATGTGTAAAAAGATTGGGTTAGAATATAGGATCAGAGGTTCAATAGTGCAGGCTATGATCAAACTCACAACTGACTGAAATATCAAAGACCAAACAGACTCACAGTGGAAGGAAACAAAGAGTGGAAGAATTGAACATGGCGTATAGGAAATGGACGAGGATCAGACTGTAACGAAAACATGGCAAGACTTCGCAAAATGTAATAATAATAATAATACGGAGAGAGTGTTCATGGAGGGATTTCCCCACTTAAGGGACATTTCATCAATTTATCAACTAATGTAAATTACAGTAGATAACTCAGTTAGCACACCAATGTTGGGCCATCGTTGGATGTTGAGACTTTCAGTCACCTTTGATTCCACTTTGCCAACATTGGTACAACATTCTAAATATTGATTGGTTGCAGGTTTAGATTCAAATTGAGTGTACATTATAATTAACTTTTAATGATCACCTCAAATAAAGTAGACCATGTTGAGAAGCATGGTCACGGTCTGACAGTTCCACCCCACACCACCAGAGGCCCCCATCACCAGAACCCTAGGCTACTTCCTGGTCACCTGAACACTCACCTGATGCTCATTACTTCTTCATTTCCCCAGTGTTTATGTACCCCTCAGTTTCCAAGCACACTGGATGTGTGAAATAACTACAATTTGGAATAAAATGGTTCTCTAAATCTCTAAAGCTATACCACAAAATCTCTTTTTGATAAGCAATTGGTCATGTGATTCTTTAGTTTGTGTCACTGATACCCTTTAATTAGAGAAACGGTTTGGGTTTGTGGAACAAATCCATAAACCCAAACCCACAAACCTGTTTTCCAGTTTTTTTTAAAGAGCAAGAGGCGAGTTCATGCGTTATTCATAGCGCTAAGGGCCAGCTGTTCCTCTGAAGCCTCTTCTGAATCAGTCTCAAGGTGCCCGACCCTTTTCTCCTCTGCATGGGGTCATCATTTTAATTTGGATGGAGAAGGAAGGAGGAGGAAAAGAAACCACTTCAGGTCTCCATGAAGAGAACAGACGGCTGTGACAGCATGATGATAATCAAGGTAACAAGGTAGGTCAAATTTATTTTTTTTTTATCTCATTCAAATTATTATATGTAGTCTTGGCTGCTTTCTACCTTGCAGACTTTGAAAGAGATCTAAAATAGTAAGAAATGCCATTTTGCATGCTTAACGATAATTGCATCATCATTTTACAACTCGTCAAATGTAATTCTATTGACACTGACATTTAAATGCAATTTAACATGCCTGGTAGCCATACAGAGACACTATTTATAATTCACTGCTCAAAAGTCATGCATAAACAGCACTGATATGGTGTGTGTCCTGATTTGTTTGGTTCAGACCCACATGATAAATGGCCTGATTGTTTTGGTCATATGCTAATGTGTAGTCCATGTTGCATGCTAATATGTGCTACTTGCGTAAAACCATGCACTGTTGCTCACTGTTTTCCTTCCCCAAGTTAATGACATCATGATTCATGTGATAGTTGTTTGTTGGGGTGCAAATTTCACATTTTGCATGCTAGTGGTTCTTAGCAAGACAGACTGGCTGTTCCACAATATTAAACATAACCCTAAACTGGTAAGATGTATGATGTTCTTATTTAATTAGTAAAAATAAAATAAAATAAAATAAATAAATAAATAAATAAATAAATGTGAGTAAGGTGTTCTGTAGATATACAATTCCTAAAGAAAAAACAAAATTAAAAATGGACTCAATAGCCTTTATTGAATTTATTGAATTAAATTAAATTGCGTATCTGCACCTAAACATAGTCAGAATTTCAAGTAATTTCTTTATTTACTGCTGGTTTGGCATTTTTCTTAAAAATAGAAGCCACCACATAATGTTTTATATATATATATGTAAAAATCCATCTGATAGTCCTGATAGGAACTTCATCGGCTCAGATTGGCTTCATGTTTGTGAAAAATGGTTTACCCATGTTATAAGTACTTCTCTATGTTTGGTTCACATAAATATGGCATGTGCATACACCCATAATTATTTTTTTTTTCCAGTCCCATGATTCACTAATATGCAGTATGCTTGAAGGTGGGACTGTTTGAGCAAACTGTAACAGATGGTGTTCTGTGTAATGGACCATCAATTTAGTGGTTGTGCAGCTTGTTTAATGCCTGTTCTTTTAGAAAGGTTGGTTTTAGAAAGTGCAGGGGAGTCACTGAGCAAGTTAGGGACGTCTGTGTGTAATTTTTGGTGTTCTGTTTCTTCGATAGCATTTGTTTTTTAGGCATCAGGCTTGTATAATCACTATAGTAGAATATTTGTCATGTAGACAATTTTGCACTGTAAATGTGAGATGTTTGGCCCATTCATTTTACTTCTTTTATCTTATTTGGAGCATGGATCCCTGGAGGACTAGTGGTTAGGTTATGGTGCTCTCATCGCTGCGGCTTGGGTTCGATTCCCTGCCAGGGAACCGATCCCTGCCACTGGGGTTACACAAGTTTATATGCACACAGGTCAATACCATTCAGCTAATTATGTGAATTTCAATGGCAACTGGTTGCACCAGAACAAGTTTAGCAAATTTAGGTGTTTCACAGTAACAGGGGTGAATACTTATGTAATCACAACATTTATGTTTATTTTATTTGTAAATGATTTAGCAAACTATGTTGATTTTCTCCCACTTCAGTATTATAGGTTGTGTATGCAAGGTACCATACAGTAAAACATAATTTAAAGCTAAGAGTTTGTGCTTTAGGCTATGTAGAAATGTGTTGCAGCGTGAAATACTCTGAGGTTGTACAGAAAATACATCAAATAGGTTTCACACATGAGGTTTCAGAAGCAAGTCTCTAATCATAGGGAGGTCAGAATTCAAGAATCACTCCAGAAAGTGTTAACCAAGATGAACATAAATCCCACCAGAGATTTAACGCATTAGCACACTGCAATGCAAAAATCTCTGGCTAGAAATGAAATTCAGTCTACTTTTAATCCTCATTGCAGCACAAGTGTTTGGCTATTTTATTCTAGCTGACTATTAATATTGATGGAATGAGCTGCCCAGAAAAAGAACCTGACGGCACCTGAAGCATCAAGCTCACTCTGTTTTTTGTCTGTCCGCGAGGAAAGTAATGCAACTTTTGAGTTTACAGTTTGTACTGTGCCTTTATTTCTCATTCCTCCATCACTATCCATTATTCATGCTTTCAGTTTCCTCCAGCACTCGCAAACATGTTTGACAAGAGCCGTATATATACACATCAGATACAGCAATAATTTATCATTTTGTCAGGAGTACAGGATGGAGGTAGGGTGATTATATGCCAGATTGACAGGAACAATGTTTTAGAATGCAAGTGTATTATACAAGGCGTACAGATTTAAATAAATAAAGCAGTTTCTGCATCATATAATGTAATCCTGTAATGAGTTTCCATGCTTAACATGGCCTGGAATGTAATCTCTGCACTGGTACAGTTGTCCAAAGTCAGCACATACATGGCTAATTTAAATTTTGACGCACGTTATGTGACTTCCTCACTTCCTGACTCCAGGTTCATTTGTCCTGATTGTGTACCGACTTTAGTTAACCCTGCTACTCTTTTAGTCATTAATCAAGTTGGATTATCATGTAAGCAAGAGAGCCATTCTAAAACACTTTGCTTACTATATGAAAAATAGTGACCAATCAGCACCAAATCTTTATATTTATATTCAGTTTGTGAGTTAATTTTAAAAGTCTGGGAGATATTTGGTGTTTCTACTTCACTGTTAACACATTATGCCTTACAATGGGCTTCTATAGAGCTGAAAAAAGCTTAACATGTATTTTACTGTGTTCTGTTTCAATTCCTGATTTGTCATTTGGTCAGTAAATAGTATTTATGTCTAGGTAAGTGTGTGAGAGATTTGGTGTCACTTAGACATTGTTTTGGTACTTTAAGCCCATGGTTCTCAAAATAGGGCTTGGGGACCCTCAGAGGTCCATGACAGTTATTATACTTATATTATGAATTATTATAGTTATTAGCCTATTTGACTGGTCACTTTGAACGGGTTTAATCCAAACCTCAATAACTCAAAACCTAGTAAACCTCTAAATAATGCACATTTGAATCTAATTTTATAATAGATTGTGTTCATAAAATAAATCTGTACTCTAGGCTTCTGTGGATATTATTATTATCATTATTATTATTATTATTAACAGTTAAAGGAACCCCTGCTTTATGCCACATTGATCTTTTCTGATGTTAAGCATTTTAGAATGTCCTGTTTTTAACGATGATATGGAAAAGGTTCCACTGGCTAATAATGATTCATAGAGTGCTTTATTTATCTTGTATTAATAACAGATGTGAGACGACATGGGCTATTGAGGCTGAGTTATGAAGGACACAAAATTTAAAAAACAACATAAAACCACATAGTTAAAATTAAGCCAAAACTGCAGCCGGGTTTATTGTTTGCCTATGGCCGTGGGCTTCAGACTGAATGCTGAGGTTTCTGTGGTGTTTAAAGATGACTGATGCGATAGGATATCTGTCTCAATTTAGCTCTTTTTATGGCCCTTCCCACAGCAGGGTCCTCAGAGGAGATTCTCTCTTCCCCGACCTAATAATTCTATAGAACCATTACGCTAATGGAGATGATTATCTTCCTGTGCCTTTCCTTTTGAAAAAGAGCTCTATTAACTGTCAAAATGTGACGAGACGATCAAGACCACAAAAAAAAAAAAAAAAAACACAATAAAAGCCCCTACTAATATTTTGCTGCCACTGTCCGATGCTATCAGGTTAGTGCTGTCAGATACTAGCTGTGCTGTGACCTTTCCGTGCTACCAGTCATGATGATAAAGAATGGTTCACAGGATGCTTTTATCAGTATGAAAGAGGAGAAGAAACAGCGAAATTGTCAATATCTTCTACAGAAACCACTTTCAGCTATTCACTGTGAGGCGTTGTATCAGTAAGCAAGTCTCAGGTGCTTTTATTTTCTTCACAGTTCATTCGGAGAGAAGTTTAAGAAGAGCGGCTTCTATAAATTCTTCCTGTTCCTGTTTCCTTCTTGTAGCTGATAGATGAAAAGCACAGAGGCTGAACAGCAAAGCTGCAAGATATATAATCTAGAAACATCTGAATGGGAAACTGCAAACTAGACATTACGTTTTGTCTAATGTGGTACAAACTGGGAGGTCAAGTGCCCTTCAAAGTTTAATTATTTCCTTAGCCGTGTTCTTTAATACCACTAAAAGCAAACACAAATCAAGTAACCGAATATAACCGCAAGCTTATCTTTGGGGTCCAAGCACCCTTGATAAAAAAGCTTCCCCAGTGGGCAGTCCTTGCAAAGCTAAATAGAAAAATAAAGAATCCAAAGATGAACTATCCAGGATTTGTGATGGTCGCTCAGTGGTAACCCTGCCGATGGCGGCCATTCTTTTTAAGCAATCAAGTCATCATTAGAAATCCTCTTATATATTAGCATAACGAAGCAGTACACCAAATTTCAGCTCGAATGAACTCACTGTTACTGAGAAAGAGCTGGTTGAACTTAACCCCACTCCCTATGAGTGACTAACCTCCGCCTCAACCTCTGCAGACATCTTCGTTATCTTTTCTTGAACATGCCATTCAAGTTTCATGTGAATCCCTGCAATCAGAATCCATGAATGACAGTTGTTTGTGTACTTTAAGCTCCGTTGCTGTTAGGATTGAGTGGCATACTGTTTTTGATCAGGTTTTTTAGCATTATTGCGTTTCATTTCGTTTCGTTAATTTGACACCAACTTTATGAAGGGATGGCAGAACTCCTAGACCAAGTTATGCAAATTGCCTCAAAGTCTAAGTGATGGGGGCTAAATGGTTCTTGAGGCTTTTTTTGTTTGGCAGAAGTAATCAAGTTATCAGGCAAAAAAGTTCATGGTAGGACCTGTTCATAACATAGAGGCCAAAATGTAAAGCACAGTGCTACAGCGCCACCATTGGGCTGAGCGGGCTCATCTTGTTTGCCTGGGTAGTGGGAGGGAGTATATATGGGAGGGAGTTTCATATATCTATTCATTTTAGTGTGGAAGAAAAAGAAGAAAAATCCTACCAAAAACAATAGGGTTCCAGCACATTAGTGCTTGGACCCCTAAAAAATCCTAATACAAACAAGAGGGTTCCAAGCACTTTGTGCTTGGCTCCCTAAAGAAAAAGAGGAAAAATCCTAATGAAAACAAGCCCCTAAAAATTCCAGCAAAAACAATAGGCCTCCAGTATCTTTGGTGCTTGGACCCCTAACTAGCTGACGACGGTAAAATTCCAAGAGCTTGTCAGCACTGTAACTGCAACACGTGTCCTTTGTAATAGAAATCATGGCCTTTTTCATTTTAGACACCTAATGGAGCTATGTAGTGTAGTGACTCTCCTGTGCTGAGGTTAAACCGTTGTGTTAGCTAATTGTCTGGCTGTAGCCCAGTGCTTGCTAGCCAATATGGTATCAGCTGTTCCAAGGAGTATTGGGTGATGTTTGAACGTGATATTGGACATGACCATAGAGCTGACCTGCTTAAACCCCCCACACGCCGTCTGCTAATCCTCCTGTTAAGAGTTCAAAGTGTCAAAGCTTTCATTCCCTTTTATTGCTGTTGAACGTTGTATCTGGTTACAGTAAAGATCTTATTTCAGATTGAACTATGTGTGTTGTCTGATAAATAGCAGATGGCAGTGGCACATTTTAAGACAAAGAAATAAAATGGAATTTAAAAAAAAATGGGGAGAACGACGAGTCAGATCTCACATTTAGAAATAATTAGCGATGATCAAGAATGAAGTAATGGCGAACAAAACAAAATCTGAATCTTAGAAATTATAAATAACCACCTGGGTCAGAGTGTCTGAATTCTGTCATTAAAATAGGTGTCTTTTTCTGGTGTCTTGAGAAATTGAATTCCGTTCACAGATTCGCAGGTTTATATTAATGTGCTCGTTCTAATGTTATCGTTTCTCTAGTAACAATTTACACACGACAGTAGTCTACTAATCAATGGATTAAAAAAGGGTTGTTATTTAAGTATTATGAATTGCGTATCATTTTTGATATGGTGAAGTTTTTTGTAAGGATACACTTATATAACGTTTATGGAAGTAGCTATAACTGTAAGATTTCTGACACACCTTCATCTAAAGATTTTTTATTTTTTTTTGGTAAGTAACATGACAAACTGTAGGCCAGTACTGTTTAAGAGCACACATCCTTGTTTGAGGTCATATGTTGCAGTAAATTGTAATAGTTTTTAACACCCTAGCAAAAACCTCTAGGTAGGTAGATGTGTTAGAGAACCAATTTTTATTTTATTTTTTTTAAACGAATGAAAGGATTCATTGACTCATGATGACCCATTCAACAAGAAAGGATGGAATTCTGTTCACGAACTAAAGGAGTCACTGGCTCTGACATCTGTACATTCATTCAATTCAAAAC